GCCCATAATAATATTATATACACGTCATTCTGATACAAAACATAAGCAGGCGGAAAAAGCACTTGCAGTAAGAAAAAAGCTTTTAAAATATCAGAAGATAAAACTAGGTGTTTTTTTAGGGGGAGGGGGGCGTTTTGAGGGGCTAGGGAGTTGGGGACAGAATGTTTAGTTTGAGATAGCTCTGCACTAGCCTGTAGATCTAACCCAGGGGTCATAAACTCGATTCGGGTAAGGACAGATAAAGAGGTACAGAAACTTTGGACTATATACCCTATTTAATTTCTGGCTTGCAGTCCATTTGATAGTGGATGCAGGAAACATTGTGTGTTAGACGTTGCTGTTCACTGGACAGAACACATACTTACGTTTATGAACAGTGAACACATACTGTAAGTACGTTTATGAGCAATTCATTAATTAATTTATTCGTGCCAAACCACAATTTACTTTTTATGGCATTATCTCCAATGCAAAATCTACGAGAAAGCCAAGGTTTTAAGGGGTCTTGCAAACTGTGGGCATTGATTCAGGTTCAACAACCAAGTTTAGGTGTTTGTGAGGGCATAGTTTTTCTGTGCAACCTGTAAAAAACTTCTGGTAACGCCGAACACTGTAAGGTACGGTCTTGTATTTGAAGAGAACTTTTCCCAGAACTCTTTTTTTCAACGTTAAGCCTACATTTTTATTATTTTTTCGAAAAGTTCCTTTCCTTGATTTTGGGAACTAAAATGCGATACGTCTGCCACCCAATAATTTTTCAACCAGTACTTCCCGCCCGCGCCTTCTTTTCTTTCTTTCTTTCTTTCTTTCCTTCTTTCTGTATTTCTGGCTTTCTTTCTTAATTTCTTTCTTTCATTCTTTCTTTTGTTCTTTCTCTCGTTCTTTCTTTCTTTCGTTCTTTATTTATTTATGGGGGTGGGGTGGGTGGTGTATCATATAGCACGCCGTATATGTCGTAAAGTCAAAAGGTAAGCGAACGTCTACATCAATAACATATCTGGAGAAGAAAAAGGCAACTTCCTATCGACATCTGTGAAACGAAGGAGGCTCACAGAATACGCGAGTTCGATTCCTGAGGGGAGAGGTTTCTTTAATGGAATCCCTCCATTTGTCTGCTGGGATGCTGTGTCCCTCAAATGGCCCTAAAAGACAAGGTCGAAGCTCTACTCTTAAATGATATATGTTACGTCGAATATGTTTTTTCCCCCATTTTTTTCGGGGCTTGAAATATCTGCAATTATAGTACACCAGGAAGCGCGCAAATAGTGTAAAACTAAACGTCGATAATCATCAACATCCAAGTTCACCACATTTTTGTAAATGTTGTTCCTTACCCAGGCATATAGATCTCTGAAACTTCATAAATGTAACGAGTGAGTTCTGTGGGTTTTTTTTACATTAATAAAAAAAATTTACACACACACACGCACGCGCACACACACACGCACACACACACATACACACACACACACACACACACACACACACACACACACACACACACATACATACATACATACGTTTATACACAAAGACGCACACAAACATACACACACACACACACACACACACACACACACACTCACACCCACAGACACTCACACGCACCCACTTCCACACACATTCTCACACACATAAAGATATACATGACGCACGCACGCACGCACACACACACACACACACACACACACACACATACACACACACATCACACACACACACACACACACACACACACACGACACACACACACATACAGTGGCGTCCAAAAGAAACTTGAAAATGTTATCACCCAATCACCATGTTAAGGCTTTGCACTACCCACTCATGCAGCATACCAACTTGAAGCTAAATAAAGTCTGCATCATCAGACACAATATTTCCTCTACGTTTAGAGAAGCCCGAGATATGGTCACTCAAAATTGACCTTTAAAAATCAATCTTGACAAAATTGTGCGAAATCAAAGCAACGTTAAAATGTGTTCGCGCGTGTATTGAGGCGCATCGCCATTAGTGGAATGGACATGTATTGAATATCAAATGAAAAGAGAATACCATTGTCTCTGCAATGAACAGCATCTTCTGGTGATATTTTCAAGCCGATTCGTTACAAATACTAGGCGAAACCTGTACTTAACGATGCATGTGCTCATTAGTACTGTTTTGTTTTTGTTTAGGAGATACTGGTTTCATGTAGTGCTCGAAAACGTTTTTGCACATGGACTGTGTTAGTTAGATTTTGGACTAATCATCTGACAGCAAGGAACAGAAGCCAACAAACTGTCATGGTTTAGGGTTTAGGCTGGTCTCAGGTGGAATGAACAAAACTGCGGCGTGAGAATCCCCGGATGGCTTGGTTTAATAGTGCAAGTGTTGGAACGTCATGTCTTACCCTAATTTTCGCCATGTAGACAATATCTGTGCATGGCAAAGCACTTTCTCACAGGGCCTCTAGACAATTCTTGGAAAACCATACCATATCAACGTGAGAGTGCTCACCAGTAAATAGCCCCGATGTGAATCCTACAAGTATGTGAAGTCCCATGAAATAGCAGCTGATGAAAATCGACTTTGCTCCCAATTCAGACCCTTTGTTTGCAACTCTCTGTGACATTTGGAAGGAAAATGGCACATAATTATGTCCAAATTTTGTTAAAGCGATGCCCAAAGAGTTCGTGCCCTACACAAAACCAATGGCTCCAAAGCAAAATAACAATGACCACAATTTAATGTTAAGTCCAAGTTTCGTGTGCTATTATTTTGTGATTGCTCTCTTTTCCGTTTTGTTTGAAACCATCAAAATTAAATATTTTTTATTGCATAAACAAAATTCTCCCTGCATTAGATATGCACTGTATACCCATTCAATCAATATTGATGACCCTCAATACACGCGCGAAGACAATTTTACGTGTCTCTGATTTCGCACAATTTTGCCAAGCCTGTTTTTTTTTTAGGTCAATTTTTAGTGACCATACCTCTAGTGACTCTTAACATATATGAAATATTAAGGTGTCAGAAGATGCAAAATTTATTAGGCTTTAAATTGGTATTGGGCATGAGTAGGTAGTGCAAGACCTTAACGCAATGATTGGGTGATTACATTTCAAGTTTCTTTTGGACGCCATTGTATTATACACACACACATGTGTTTGTGTGTGTGTGCGTGTGTATGTGTGTGTGTGTGTGTGTGTGTGTGTGTGTGTGTTTGTGTGTGTGTGTGTGTGTTTGTGTGTGTGTGTGTTGTATAGGCGTAAAAAAGTACCATACCACTTTTTAATTGGGCACCAAATCTAGTCTTCTTGGGTCTTTACGCGTTTACGTCCATGTGAATATCATTAAGTATTCGAAAAAGAAAGTAGGAAAGCGGTAGATTCTCTCTATTCTTTGTTGTTTAAACATTTAAAAAATTAAGTTTAGGTCTATGTTTATCAAATGCCGCAACAACTGCTGATCACTGTCCCTCAAAAAGGTGGCAGATTTACTCAAAACCAGGGAAGTCTAGACATGACATGCCCTGCGCATTTCTGCTGTTACCTAGGCAATGAACGTCAACAGAAAAACAGACGTTGAATGTTCTGTCAACAGCAAAAGCACGCTGAGCATGTCGATGGCCCCTCACCTCCCCCCTTCTCCCCCTTCTCCCACCTTCTCCCCCTCCCTCCCCCATCTCTCCATCCTCCACCTTTACCCTCCCTCCTCTCCCGTATTCATATTGTTTCTTAGCAGGTTTATTTTTAAAAAGTGACAGCAAGACTGTCGTCAATAATTAATTAGTCGCGATTGTAGTAACGGTCGAAACCAATACATGATAATCTGAACCCTTTTGGTTTAGGTTGTCGTGCTAAAGGTATGCGGGTAGCTGGCACATATATAAACTTATAAAAAGCTTTAGTGACTAAACTTTTTGGCTTGAAATTTAAAAAAAATTATTTTGGTGATAATCTACGCAATCTACACGCCCTTGTAGAAAGAAGGGGGGAGGGGGGAATGAAATGTGTTAAAAAGTTACAAATAGAATATTACAACGTGTCTTGGTACTGCATAATAGTTTGAGGAAGTAGAGATTATAGGGGAAAACGGAAGTTCAAATATTAGAGGTAGCCATTTTGTTTTTGTCACAGAGCACGTCATAATATTATTTATGCCTTCTAATTTAAACATATTTTACCCATATATACTGCAAGAATCTTATTAGAGTGCAAACGCTTTGAATTGCAGCAAGGTAATAGAGATATCTGTACGCTTTCAGTCTAGCTAGCCCTTGCCAGCTACAGCTATACTTCATTATTAGCACCTTCAGACATAAGTGCCTGCCATCAACAGCGTTACGTTTAAGTAAATAAAAATATTAGTACGTTGGGGCTTGCGCAATGTGGGCATAGTCAAAGTTGTTAGTGTGCTGGGTCTGTGAAATTTGGCCCACTTTCTTCCCAGCCTGTCTCACTGTTTAGCAATACTGTGTACACATTGATTTGTAACTTTGGTCACAGGTGTATTGTGTGGTTCTCGGGGAGAAGCAGGGGGCAATAGAGAGTGTAATACATGCACTACTAATAGCATAGCAAGGAAGACTTCACTCGGAAAATGGCCTTAACTGAAGCTGTTATCTCTGTGTGTGTGTGTAGAAGTCAAAGAACTTGTAACATTTTTCTGTTTCGGACTGGGACAAACATTCAAGGTTGGATAGTACTGTTAATGTGTGTTATAGGTCTAGTTCCTATTTTGAAAAGGCTGAGGTTGGTTAAGGGCCATAGCTTGAATAGTTTGTCACTGCTGTGTAAGTAGCATTTCCTTTCTTTTCTATGCTTTCTGGTCCGCTTATTGATCTCTCACAAGATAAAAAAAAGCTCAACCCACTCTACATTGCTAACTCTTCGTTATTTTGGAAGGATTTTTAGGAGTACCCTTTCCTCTTTAAGCTAATCTAATTGGATATCTGAGCCGCATAGATCTAATTTTATACAAATATCTTTCGTCTATCTGGATTGTTCCAACAGCAATCATTCACAATGGCCGAGGAGATCTGGACCGTGGCCGAGATCATGAAACACTGGGCCGATACGCAGCCGGACGCTCAGACTTTTCGCTTTGTGGACAAGAAAGGAGTCCAGTCAGTCTGGACACCACGGAACATATACGTGACGTCATCTCGGTTCGCATCTCGACTCCGCGGGTACGGGTTCTCGGACGGTGACGTCATCGCTAACGGAATCCCTAACTCCCCAGAGAGGCTCGTCACAGATCTGGGAATTATTTTGGCCGGTTGTGTGATGGTTAACTTTCAGGTAATTGTTGTGAGATTGTTAACATTGAGTTTATGGTTGTGATGAAATGGTTAACATTAATTTAATGAATGTACATATATATATATATATATATATATATATATATATATATATATATATATCTTTCATGAATTCAGGTAATGGTTGTGAAATGGTCAACATTAAGGTAATGGTTGGGAAATGATGAACATTAAGGTAATTGTGGTGTAATGGTTACCTTCCAGGTAATGGTTGTATAATGGTTAACTTTCAGGTAAAGGTTCTGTATTGGTAAAGGCTGTTAGGTTGTTTAACTTTTAGATAATGACATAATATGGTCGCTTTTAAGGACAAGAGGGCTAACCCAGATTTCGGAGGTTTTCAGAAATCTTGACCTACACCGAAATTGGGTATTGATCTACCTGTAGGTGAAGTTTGGTTTCATTGGTGTGTATAATAATATGTGTTTGGTTAAAAGAAAATTCTCCTTGTCTTTTAAAGAAAGTGGACAAGGGTCCCTAAACTTTACCCTCTATTTTCCCAAAACAGCATTTTTCGGGAAAGCCCCCATTATGCTTAAAAGCGACCATAATATACGTACACTCAGAAAACAGATCTACAGTCACAGGTTAAATAAATAATTATAAAGATGGACAATAGATAAGCACGTTTGAGCTAGATAACGACAACTCCAATTTTCCTAAAAGTTGTGTGGGTTTTCTTTTTAATTCATTCCCCAGGCCGTGGAAAAGGATGGCTCTGACTTCTGGAACACAGCCAAACTGGCAAGTTGTAAGGGCGTCGTCATCCCAGCTAGGTCTGAGCAGCCCACTCATCGTCTGATAGCACCTTTACTTCCTGACGTCACGAAGACGTCGGGCTGCGCGGAGATCTCAGTCAGTCAGGTCCCGAGTCTGACCAAGGCAGTTCTCGTTGACAGAAGCGAGTCAGACCAGGAGAGTTCTTTACTGTCCAGCTTGCAGTGTAGTGAGGATGGCGTGGACATTTGCTACAATCCAAAGAAGTCGGACATCACGGTGTTATTCGCCACCTCGGGAAGTTCGGGCTTCTGCAAGTTGGTGCCTCGGACTAACGAGGAGGTTCTAAGGGCTGGGCGCTCGTTTGAGGGCGCCAAGTCCATCAAGTATTTCTCTGACCGACTTTTTGGCTGGATGGGAGGTTTCCCTTTTGACTTTCTAGCTTTCTGTTCTCCGAGAATACTGCAGGTGC